TATGCATTGGAGCTTGATGGCCGGGTACTGCTAGGGTGTCCAGCCACTAAGCATGAGGACGATTAGGGTTCTCAACCAAAGCCTTTAGTTCTGACAAGAACCTAACCGCAAGGCTGCCGGTGAAGCGAAGTAGAGGTCCATTTACTTGGATCGATTACTCCTCTACCATTTTCACTGACTGAGAGGCAAAATCGAGTAGAACCCCAACTTAGAGGACCAAAAGACTGGACTACGTCTGACTTCTACCCTTCGACCTTCCAGGGACGATTAGATCTTTGGCTTGACAAAAGCCATACTGTCCGTTGGGTTAGAGGTGCACAAGCCATCACACCACGTAAAAGTGCAGTCTCGTCGTAATGGCGCAGAATACGCGACTTTTTAACTTCAGCCACGTCGTCGCAACAGGTGTTTTAGTGATGCGTATGCTGCTCGATTTTTGGAAATGCGGGCGGTTATCTCCTTTGATGCGCTACCGTAGTTGGTCACGCATCTACCTAAGTACGAGAAGCAGTCAACGTCAGCTAATTCCTAACCGTTTAGTTTCAGAACAGAACTCGGCGACGCCCAGTCTTATAGCATCACTTTGCACTTTGAAGGTGCAAAGCATATGCCGAACGGAGCGACAGGACGTGTTATTTTGTCAAGTGCTCTTTGTGCATCTTCTATACATTCGAACAAGCGGACGATGTCGTCAGCGAACTAAAAATCGCACAGCTTTTCTCCAGCTGTCCACTCAATACTCACATTTTGGAGACCACTTCGTGCGTTCTCCAGTATTTCATTCATGACGAAACTGAGCAGGAATGGTGGAAGACAGCAGCCTTGACGAACAACACAGCTAGTTGCGAACAACCTACTTGGCACGCCATGGGCCATTACACTACCAGAAGTATGTGAGTTTCAGTTTTCAGTTTGAACAACCATTAACCACACATATTCGTGGGCCGGTTTGGTTGCTGTCTTTTGGCTGCCCATTGGGATGAGGAATAGGAGAAGAAAGAAAAG